CTTTAAAGGTAGCAAAAAGGCTTTTTCTTCCTGAGCTGCATGGAGTACCATCTCCCCCTACTGCCATCCTAAAACTCGCCCAATCTCTGGAAATCCTTTTTTTGCAACTCCTTCAGAAGACACATATGAAGTACGACCTGACACTTGGGAAGATCTCTAACACCCTCTAAAAACTTAGAGACACTTTTCTACATCTGCTGCAACTCCTCAAAGGGCTTGATTATAACACTTTTGAACCCAAGCCATGAGAGCCTCCTCACATTGGGCTTTCAGTTTTCTTATTACTTTCTCAATTTTGTAAACAAGCTGTTCTCCTGCTACACTGGAAAAAAAACTGTCCTTCTGTCCTTCTTTTGCCTTTTTGAGGCATTCTGCTCCCTTCCTTCCTTTAATATTGTGCCTTCTCCACAAGAAATGATGTGCACTGGCAGCACTGAGCTGCTTTTGGCTTAAGGTGCAATGAGTGGAAATACGCACTGACCTGGTTATGTCTCCAGGGCGGTTTCCAAAACTGTGAAAAATACTTCATTTATTTGTTTTCTCCTTAGATACAATTTCTTGTGGCCTATAATGTGCAGTTTCACACACACAATGTATTTTTGGCATTAAAATACCCCTGGCGACACATTAATGGAGCTATACTACTAATGTTATATGACTAACAACCATCCAAAAATCATCCATGGGAAAAACAGCCAAATCTGTTCATGGGAAGCACTATTAGTCCAACTGCATCTGCATTTTCTCTTTCTCCAGAATTGCTGTGTCACTCAGAAACAATCTCTCTTCATACCTGTAAAGTTAGTTATTCTTACAGCCAATTTTTACTGGTATGAATTAGACCCATTAATGTGCTTGTATGGAAACCTTTCCAAAACTTGAAGGACTTTGCCAAGGTGTCAAAATGCCTCTGTGGGAGAAAGTTTCTATAATTTCCTCAGATAATAGCTGAGCGTCTGAACCAGGAAAATAGTGGTAAGATTAACATAAGAAGCTAGCTGGGTTTGAACCTGTACTGTAAATTAGTTTTCCTCAAGTTTCACTAGATCTAAATTAAGGCAGAATTAGCAAAACACATAAATTTATAATAACTTTAAGAATAATGGGCTTTAAATTCCTTAAGACTAGAGTTTTTCCCTGTCCAGTGTCATCCCTTGCTTGCTAAGGCCATTACCTCTCATACAAGACCAAAACACATCTGAGGCATATGGATTTATTCAATCTAGACAATAATTTCTTCAATAAGACAGGAAGTTTACTTCCTGTCTTATAGTTTATTTTAGTATTTGTCCTGTCGTATTTCTTCAGCGGCTTTCAGACAGCTTTGTGGCTGAAATTCATGAATTTTTTGTCATGCCTGGGATGTTACTTAATAACCATTTTTTTCCAGAATTTTCATCTACTATTTTGGAATAGAAAGTTATTGAATTGTACTTATCTCTGCTACTGTTCACAGGTCAGCATAAAACTGTTAAGTGATCCCTAGGGTTTATGGGGCTGACTTCTACTTTATGGGTTGGTTTTTTTTGCAATATTAGGAAAAACAATTTAGAACTTCCATCCCTTTGGATTTTGATACCTATTTGAAGTTTCTTTGCAGAAATATCTGTCAGAAATTTGAAATTAAACATACATAAATTAGAAATGTCTTTTTGTTTTACAGATAACTTATGGTTAAGGAGGTTTTTGACAGCTACTATTAACTTGTTCAAATGTAGAAAACAGAGGGATCTGAGCCATGGTCTATTCCAGTGATAAACTGGAAAGTTACGACAATTCTTCAGCCAGCATGAAACAAAATGAGGTAGCTCAGTAGCTACTGTAATGCAAGGGTGTGGCTGCAGACATGAGAAACTGTTGCCTGTATTTCGGGCTACAACCACCACTTCAATTTATATTATGCTTGGATTATTGCTAGATAATTCTGAAATGAAACATATCAGTAGCATAAGCTACCAGTACTTAATTTGGAGATACACCCTTTTCAGTCTGTTACTTCTTCAGACCTGTTACTTCTTCAGACTGTTCCACAAACAAGAACATCCTCAGTTCCTCCAGTCTGCTCTGCTGCCACCCTGTGTCAGGCAGTGAAAGGAGGACTGCCACACACAAAATCCTTAAGCAGTTCTTTTTCTCACTGATGAATTTCATATGCATTTGTATATTATGGACTTGAGGGGAGGAAAAATGGAAAATTATTCTTTCCCTCTGTATTGTTCTTTTCTTATTTGAGTGACAAAATCCATTTTATACTAAATTGCCAATGCTTCCAACAAAGATGAAGAACACTGAACTGCATTACTCTGAAAACAGCCAAATTCTGAGCAACAAAAAATTGTCACCTCAAGATCTGGAACAGCTGGAACAAAGTACCCGAGTACCCATAATTCTCTTTACAAAATTGTTTGGGTCAATTTAGTTTGGTGAAGCATGGGTGGTGTTGTGCTCTCCACCATGACAGCACCTTTTATTATGTTCTGTATTTCTGAGGACTGACAGTCCCAATTGCCATAATGTCTATCCACAAAAAGGATTATCATATCTTTTATACCTGGCATTACCGTTCACCTATGTTAGCTGATTTGAACCTCTGTCCATAGAAGTCCAGGATGCTGTCCTTCCGAAAGTGGGGTGCTAGAGAGGTAAATAATTTAGGTCTTATGTCCTTTTTCAAAAATCTGTAAAACTGATTCGTTTTTTTTTTCCCCCTCTGCTTTTAACATGAATTTGGATTTTGTTCACCTCGTAATCTTAGTTCCATATACATTTCCTTTTCAACAGAAAACCAACAAACAAAAAAAACCCAACAAAACCCCCCCCCCCCCCCCCAAAAAAAAAACAGTCAAGACAAGAGAAAAGTTGAATTTCTTGCAGAGAAGAGCAGCAATGTTACAACCACAAAATAGTTTTATCTTCCTGGACTTCTACCCTGTAGATATGGAATCAATTATACATACATTAAGAAGTAAAATAAGAGATGAAGAAAAAATTTGGGAGAGCTTCCTCTGTGTAAGTTCCCAGTTAATCTGACACCTTAGGGCTATTAGTCCTTCACTTTACCCTTTCAAGTCTTTGCTTACTGTAATTATTTTGTACATTTGTCAAAAGATAATCTTACTAACTGACCTGTTGCTCAGAAAAAAAAAAAACAATTTACAGCGCCCTAGTTAAGATGTCTTATAAAACAAGTACAAATCCATTGTGAGATAAGACAGTTAACAGGGCAGCTCATGACAGTTACAGGATATCAATGACATCAGGCATGTGAAAGTTGGTACCACCTGTGTCCCTGAGCTCTTAAACTTGTTGCCATTTTAGTCAAAGAAAAGCTTTCCTTTGGCATTAATAAAGGGTCTAATAAGCACACTGGAGTCTTTGCTGTGCTTTATGACGGGGAAAAAACAAAGTCATTCTTTGTATAGCTCTCGCATCAAAATCAAGAGCACTGTCTCACAGAGTTATGTAGTCCTATATCTAGCAAGACCTAATATCAACATTGTCAAGAGAATCATGCCATTTTAATTTACAAAAAAAAATAAGTTCATATGCTAACACTCATAATCACGCAAACATACCCCCCTTAACCGTAGAAACATACCTATTTTCCTGTTCTTAAATAAGTACACAAATCATTGCAAACAAGACTATGATATTTGACTGAAATCTCCAGAGAGAATAATACAGCCTTTGGGAGAGAGCGTTCATTACACAGTGCTACACTCAGCATTAGTAAACAAACAGTAACTACTACTATTGCATTCTAAACATTTCAGAAAGTTAACTTAAATTTTAAGTGCTCTTTCTCTATAAAAACTCAAAAATGTGCCATTAAACTAACCACAAATACAAGGAGCAGAAATTGTGCAATTCACTGATTTATAGGAATAAACAGGCTCACTGAGCAAAAGATTTGACTTGAGGCTACAAGTTTTTCTTACGATGCTGCTGAAAATTCACTACTACGCATATATAGAAATAGAAATTTGCATTCTCTTCTGAGTTGCATAACTGGCAATGCATCACCTGTTAAGAAAGCAAGTGTCCTGTGTTTTATAAAGGGATTTATAGACTTTGTCATTTTTCTCCGGATTAGGCACAAACAGAACCAGAGGATCGCATAGGTAGGAAAGGATCACTACAAGTCTATAATCTAACCTCTGCTCAGAGTAAGGCCTCATTACAACAGGTTGCCAAGGGTAAGTCTCATAATTGCCATATCAAAGCAAAGCATCTTTTGCTTGAGGGTGTGTGTGGGGTAGGGGTGGGGGTGGGGGTACAAGGACGAAACTACCAAAAGAAATGACAAAAAAGATTCTAGGTGCTTCCTGCCATGACAAAGGCAGGTGACTGCTGACAAACAAAAAAAACAAACAAAAAAAAACCCCCCCCCCCCCCCCCAAAAAAAAAAAAACAGTCAAGACAAGAGAAAAGTTGAATTTCTTGCAGAGAAGAGCAGCAATGTTACAACCACAAAATAGTTTTATCAGGTACAGGTAAATCATCCTCTCTCTGTGATATGAGAACCATTTGAAAGCAAAGAACATAAAAAAATGCTTTGCTCTCTATTCTGACTTCTGCTTCTACAAACAGGAAAAAAAAAGACATTTTCTGTAGACTGTGTACTTGCACAGACTTCTGTGAAAGAAGAGAATACTGCAGAGAAGTTTCATTACAAGGTGCAAGTCTGAAAACTTAAAACCTTTTTTTTTTTTTTTTTTTTTACTAGTCCCTAGGACAGATTAGCTTCACTACTAGAAAGAGCCCAGGTAAAACATGATTTTTACTTAGTATTCATCTTCCCAGTATCTTACCACACTTCAGGAGACAAATTTCTATTCTTGGAATGTTCTTAAAAATAAAACCGAAAACAACAACAACAACAACAACAACAAAACAAAAACAGCACCCCTGAAACAAATGCCAAACAATCATATATATATATATATACATATGCCAAACAATCATCCAGATTAGTCAATAACATTATTAATGGCAAAACAGATGGTCAAAGCTTTATTTAGAGAATAAATATAATTCCAGATGCAGTATTGTACAGAAAGTACATTTCAATAAAGCTTATTAACTACCCATGCTAACTCTGGGGGACAGCTCTTTCAACAGTTCAAAAAACACATCATTTCTTAAAAGAGTATTTGGCAGTCAAGGCAGAGACAATATCCCTGTAAGGAGTGTCCGAGTCAGATTTGGTCCTTGGTATGCGGCACAGTCGACGAAAGGTTGGAGAACGGAGCAACAGGTTATGTGAGAGTCCCATGAAACTTGATGACAACCAGTACAACGCCATGGACTGCAACAAGACAAATACTGAGTTCAGCCCTAGATGCAACGAACACACTACCATTCTAGGCAGCTCTTCACAAACCACACTCACGGGCAATTCCTAATTATTAAGAAAAACAACTGACCTAAATATACTCCCCTCAATAACAATAGTAGCTTCCATTCCAAATGCATTTCTCACTCTTTCTCAACTCCTCTGGGAAAAAAATGCCACCTACACTGAAGTTGGACAACAGCTCACAAATTAAACCATGTCTTTCTTGAACGGCTATGTTTCACTTAAATGAACTTGATGAGCCAAACAACTAGACAGACTGATTTCTTAATCACTGAGAAAATATGTATTTGAACAAGTAAAAAAAAATAGATCAGAAAAACAGAAACAAGTGCTTTAAGAAGTTCAGAGAAAAAAACACAAATCTCCCAAAACACGCAAAGCTAAAGTTGTATATTACAGTAACCAAATAGGTTCATCTATACCTCTTTATACAAACTTTGCCTCTACTTTTTAAAAATGCAGAAAGGAAAAATGCAGAAAGGATGCTAAGCCACTCTTCGTTTTTTTTTCTGACCTCTAGGTTGTAAAAATGTAACAGTAAGTTTGTAGGTTCTTCCCTTGAAGTATTACATCAAAGTATTAGAAACACAGTAAGAATATAAATGCGCATCTAAACAAAGCTGGAACAACATAACAAAGCTGTGGTCTATTAAATAAGTCAGGCCTTTGGACTGTCCCTTGAGCACTGTGAATGCCTGAAGTAGGGCCAAAAATGTCAGCTGTCAATGGAGACATCCTTAAGATTCTGGACTTACCGAGGGCACAGTTGCAGCCACAGGGATCATAATTACTGACACCACTCGAAAGAAATTTGAAGCTAACTTCTGGAACCTGGTAGCTTTCAGTTTTTGCAAAGCAAAGATCTGGAAATAAGAGGGGGATAAAAATACAAAGATATGAAGATCTTTCTAAACAACTAAAACCAAATAAAATGTTACAATGTTTTCATTAAGCCAATATTCTTGTTCATCTATTATTTTCATTATTCTTTTCAACCAAAATACTCATACATTCTTCAGTTTAACCCATCTGATGCCTTAGAGGCCCAATTCCTCACAGAAAACATATCAACCTAACAGACTACTCACCCCAAAAAAATCTCATTTTACACAATAGCTTTTACACATTAACATTTTTCCCAAGCACAGTCCTCTGAGGAAAGGTTGCTGAGAGGAAATGGGCAGAAAATGTTTGGTTGATAACTGAAAGTAGAACAGTAAGTATCTACAGTCACATACTGACTTTTATTACCAAAAAATTGTCTTAGTCCACAAAACCTTAGCAAGAAGGAAAGCCAGATGGCTAGAGTTCAACAAGAACTAACAGAAATATTTAGGAATAAGAAAAATTTTTCCATTAAGTTATCAAAAGATATGGGAAGACCTTTTTGTTTCATTTTGTTTCTTTTATCTCCCTGATAATATTCCAAGGTTGTAGATTTTTCAGTGTATCAGAAAGAATTTATAATATTGCTCATTTCAACCACCAGTCAAATTTCTTTCCTAGAAATTCATCAAAATACTTGTTTTCATCCAGCATCCACTATACCAGGATTCAGTCTTAGAACACAGAACGTAAAAAGGGAGAATACAGATCCTCTAGACTGCTTAATAATATTACAGCTGTTAATACTCTGTTCACGATGGATATATTCTTGTTTTTAATGCAAAAAATAAGTCAGTTCTGAAAAAGTTTTATACACAGGTGCCTGAAGTACTCGCAGAAGGTATAAAGCCTATTAAAAAGGAAGCTATTTTTTGAAATGACACATATTACTCTATCCAAAATGTTATGTTTACTTTCTACTTGTAGAGTTCCTGGTGTACATAGCAAAATACTCTGTGAAATGCTTGGCCTGCATATTTCTGTGGAATAAAAGCAAACTGACTCTCTTACTGGAAATAAGTTTTTTTTTTCAGGCATTTATCAAAGCAGAACCAGAGCTCTATCTGCACAAAGACAAAAAACATGATATATGCTTGCGTGGAAAAGACATTCAGAGGAAAGGACAAGATACAATGTCTGAAGGAAAAAAAACTCATAATCTTGATGTCCTTGTCCTTTTAACATCTTGGCTTTCATAACTTAATCAGAAATTCATTCTCTGCCTAATATTTTTTTAGATCTTGTTTCTTATCAAATGGCCTCTGTTTCTCTAGGACATCACCTTTCTTTCACATCTTTTATACACACACACACATCCCCCTCTTTACATTTATCTATATCATTGCACCACAGAAACCTAAGCTGGTCATAAATGCAAGTCAATAACATTCTTATTCCTGAAAACAAAACAAAATAAGAAACCTTGTTTCAGATGCTTAAAACCTAGTAAGCTCATAACAACATTCTCCTACGAGAAACGTCAGTTATGACTTTTAAAAGCCTAAAAAAACTACACTTTAGCTTGTAGTTAAGGCTAAAATATAGTATATAAAATAGCCCTGTAAAGTCACATTAACATTTATTTTCTCTAAACAATACAAATGCATGGTCAAACTTATGGAACAATTATGCAGTGTTTCAGTTCTGTCCAATGCACTGCAGCAGTCAAAATCTGAAGTAACCATAGCATTACTGTGTTTTAGAACTGGTAAGTGTGATCTTACAATTCTATAATTACAGTATTCTACATACAATAACTAATACAATTCCATAAAAAAACCTGTCCTTTTGAAATCATCCCATTTGCTTCCCCAACATACCTCTACTATCATCAAATTCATAAGCCCAAGTGAAATGGGCAAAATCCACGTAGAATCTGGTGCTGTGAGGTCTGTAAACCACAACGTTCCACCTGTTGAAAACTGTTCTTGAACTATAAGAGAAATTTTAAAAGTATTTGCAATTAAATACGATTTTCTATTTCAAGTTATGCAGAACTGCTGAATATTGCATTTTAATCACCCACATTGCTAGATACATTTTGTTTATATAATAAATACAAAATATGAACAGTATAGAATTTGGGGTATGAAAGATTACATGTCAAGACAATCTACTATTAAAACAAGGAAAAACTGGTGGGAGATACAGGCTAAGCTTTTCGTCACATGAAAAAAAAAAGCTATAGATTAATGGCAAGCACACTGTTGCATGGCTAGCATAGCTTTTTAAGTATCACAATTTTATGAACGAAAAGATCCAATGACAGCATTTCTTTCCCCGGTAATTCAGCCCTCAGGAGAGCACACTATACTTAAATGACTGTGTAACAACATGCTATGCTGTATGGAGATATAAGAATATACAATATAGCATTAAAACATAGGTCATGCTCCTTTCAGAGTTCAGATTCCACCAGTGCCTTTAAAGAGGCATCTTGCAAAGCTCAAAAGCCTATTACAAATACAGACAGCACATCAGCTGAGATCAGTGATACTTTTTTAACAGATCTGGAACCACCAGCACCCTCTGCAAAAGTTCAGAGCTCCAGTTTGCTACAACACTGCAAATACAAGATAGCTCTGCTTGAACTATACAGAGTTTAAAAATTTAAGAGCGATTTTTAGATCAGCTAATAAGTCAAGTTTTGGAGATCCTGTTTTTTAACGAGCAATGTACAAAAATATCAGAATGATCACCTTCTGAGTCCGTGGCACCGACACTACAGTTGCGCAAAGCAAGGGACACGCAGACCCACATTGGAATCTGCACCCACATCATTAAAGTGGCTTTAAAGGGGTGGCAGTTGTCTCGGATGTACAGTTCTGTAATAATCCTCCGTAGATTCTTCTTAAAATGGAACCTTTTAAGAAAAAAAAAAACAATATCTTCTAAAAAAAAACGCTACAAATTTCTGAAATAACAACTCTACGGATTATACATGCTAGATTACCTTATTTAGGCATAACTAGAACATTTGAAAATATTTCTTCTTGAAACATTTCCCCTCCCTCTCCCCACTAGAACAGGTTTGTGAGATACATACAAACACCATCTTACCTGGCAACCTTTTCAGACCAACTGAGTTGCCTTCCACGAACAGAAACTTCATAGCGAAGACGTTCAGCCAGTTTCTGAATTTCAGGCTGCAAATTTTCCAGCTAGCTAAAGCAAAGGAAATACGTTTATGTAACAGACTAAAAGAAGCAACCATAACAAATCATTTCTCTCCCCACACTGTCCTGCATGTCTATTAAAAATTACTGTAAATTGTGAAGCACAAACTTATAAACACCGTTTTTCTGTAAATAAAATGAACACATAACCAAGCTAATTAAAAATATTTCCCATAAGAATCAAAAAGCTAGTAGCTTATGAAGTATTTTATTATTAAGCATTATTTTGTTTTTCACAAAGGGACTGTGAACAACCACTTCATAAAACAAAAAACCTTTAATGTCCACTCAAACTGCAGCACAACATGACCCAAACCCTGTCCAAAGGACAAAGCACAGATTCCATTATGAAATAGTACAATAGAATTTTCGCTTTTGCAGACAAAAAGATAAAGAAGTAAAAATTACTGATAAGAAAACAAATATGCTTTAATGGAAAATTTAAATTACACATCTTCTACTGTAACCTTTTTGACAGTCACTGATGAAGCACGTCTAAGAAATACATCTCCTTTCACCCATTGTCCTTTCCAGCAAAAACATGATGCCAAACCAGACTTGAGCTCTCCCTTCTGAGATGCACCATCCTAAAAACCACGTGACTTGGACAAGAAATAACATGGCCTACAAAAAAGAGACATTATTCGAAGGATGCATCCAGGAAACACTCCTTTTGATACCACAGAACTATAAAGGTTCTTCTACTATTGTAGGGGCAACATATAATCTCTGTAATAACTTCAGCTTTGCCCATGAGAGCAATGAAAATATTTAAAAGATTTTTTCATAGAGCAACTTCACCAGGATTTTTGTTTAATTTAATGCAGCCAGCTACAGAAAACACCTACATATGTGTCAACCACGTCTCAGGCAAGGCAAACAAAATTTATTTATTTATTTTTAAATTTATAGCGTTTGCACCTGCGAGTGGCCATGCTGGGGCAGCACCAGCAGACCCAGAAGAAGGGAGGAACCGGCGCCATACCCACCCGGCTGCAGTTTTGTGGAAAGGCGCCAGCAGCAACGCCCGACTCGGCGATCACCCCCCTCACCCCAAGCACCCCAAGCACGGGTTTCAGCCGTGCCCGCGCGGCCTCTCACACAAGCAGGACGCGGGACAGCAAAGGGAGAAGAGCGTGGAGGTGCGGCACCGCGGGCATGGGAGCAGCGTTCGCCTCCGGGCGCAGCG